CCCCAAAACCCCAAAACCCCAACCCCGAAAGAATATATATATAGAATTATGAGAAAAATGAACTATCAATAATTAAATGTATTTGAATTTTATGAATATATATAACATTTGATATATTAACCTACTTTATAATTATAAAGCAAATTTCCAAAATATAGCTTAAATTTCATTGCATATTCTCAAATATAATCCATTGATATCATTCTTTCTGCTTATTTCTAAATATCTTTTTCAACATTGAATATTTTTCCATAACACTTAACTAATGAGTGAATATCCTTCATAAACATCTAATTTTAGAAAATTTTATAATCCCAATTCCATTTGTACACCTAAGCAGGAGTTAATCCAGTTTTAAAAGCTAGTACACGGACTAGACTTTAGCACCAATTTGAATTATTTTCAAATTCTTTTTGTAATATCATCAGCTATTCATCACGTTTTTGCAATCTGCCTCTAAATGGTCTCTATCTATTTTTCCTCTTGAAATATTTTTAGATTTTAGATGAGTTCTTTATTCCTTTAGCTTTTTAGCGCGATTAAGTATTTATATTTTATAAGCCATTAAACTCATCTTAATACTTTTGATATTTTCCAATTTAAATTTCATTAGCAGTTTTAGCTGATAGCGAACAAATGGATAACTTACGATCAACATTTGAACCTCCGATCAAAACTTAACTTTTTGCTAAATGAAGGTTTGGATTTTGAGTTGATTCACTGAGTGACGTTGCTTTGCATTATGACTATTTATTAGACTGCTAAATATATTATCCCAAACTAGGATTTGATACTTGCTACATATATGTCTACTCGCAATGATCTATCATCTTAATGCCATCAAGTCTAAAAACTTCTTTATTTAAAAGTTATTCATTCTAATTCTTTGCCCAAAGATTTTCAAATAATTATTCATGATACTGTTCATAAAATTGGCAGTAAAACTCATCATCAATTATCTAATATTTTGGGCTAGTTTCTAGAGTTTGAATCATCATATCATTGTAATCTAAACTTTTTTCATTTTGATCTTTTAGGTAATCTGCATTCAATTCTTGATTTAAATAATCGAAGGAACTGCATGTTAGTTTTTTTTGTTCATAATTTTCGTTGATTGGATTTAAAAAGAGTTCTGGTTCCATTAGTGTGAGTTCAAATTTTATTGAATCTCTGCAAAAATAATTTCTATTATGCTTTATCTTGTTAATATTTTATAGAGATTATTAGTAGAGATGATAATTTAAATATTTTTATGAGTTATTGAGTGATTTTAAAATAAATGTGTATTTGATTAATTGGTAAATTATAGCATATGGGGTTTTGGGGTTTTGGGGTTTT